GGAGTAAGACAACATGCATAAAGAGGATGATGTGGTCAAAATACTCATTTGCCTAATAATTCTGCACTCCCTGTATATAGCTCTTAGAAGTGATTATGGTGTTATGTAGCCATAGATGCCATCTCCTCGTTTTCTGACAGCCACCTTCAACTGTTTTTCATATGCTCTCCCTAGCATCTGTAGCCGCTCACATTCACCTCAGCATTATCCAGCTAACCAACCTCGAGCAGTGATAGACTGCTTTTGATATTCAATATTGTATGGCTTTGGACGGATAGTATAAAATTAATATTCTACATTACTCAAGTGACTGGGCTTTGGTTAACTCAAAGCCGTTTTGACGGAAAACTGGAAAATATATACAGTTATTTGTAGTGGTTATAGTGCCTCTTTTATTTTTACTATTGCTGCCGAATAACCTACTGCAGATATCTAGCACTTTTTCTGTTGAATAATATTTTCTTATATCATACTTTAGTCTAAAACCTTGAGTAGCCCACATAGCTTGCTGGTTGCACCTGCTTGCAGTACACTAGGGGTTTGTTGCATTATTGTTTTATCAACTTATGTACCTTATGTCAGAGTACTATCGTTGGCCATAAACATACAACTTTGATTTAAGTATCTATAAAAAATGAGAAATGCTACAACTCCTTCTAAATTGTTAAAGCGTTTGCAATGTATAGACTGATTGCTAATGCTTTCTGTAAATATAAGTGCGCATTAGATTTGAGTAATTACGCTATATATCCTTTAGACTGAAAGCTAGTTTGAGCAGGGTCCTCAACTACCTATCGTTCTTGTAATTGTCCTCTTTATATATAAATCCCCCTTCTTATAATATTGTAAAGCGCTACGGAATCTGTTGGCACTATATAAATGACAATAATTATAGAGGCACCGCAATAAGAGTTATTCTGCTGTCTGTAAGGACTGATATTTTTTACTTTTTTCATTTATTTGTTTTAACTGTCGTACAAGGTGAAGAAAACACACAACCTCATTCTGTCTTTCAAATATTAGTCGCATCAGTTAACTCTACACACTACAGAGCACAAAATATTTGCCCAACTAGTAAATTGAACTTAAAGTTACACTGTAGGAAATTGCTTAGCTGTGTTCTAAACAGCTAGTTATTTTGGTAACTGTCCATATTTTGTATGTTTTTTTATCTGTGTGTGTGTATGGGGTGGGGGGGTCTATAACCTATTCTTCTTTTTGTGGCAAAATTATCATCGTCTCCTTGTTCTATAAAACACAATTTACCAGTGAAGCAAAATGTATGCATTTAATACACAGCTGTCTGCACCGCCAGTGGTTTTTGTCCCATCCTCTTTCCTTCTCCCCCCCCCAAAAAAATTTAATCTCTTTGTCCCCCGTATAGAAGGAAACCAATACTCTAAAGGTGCCTCAAATCTTGCATTTCGTGTACTAAACAGGAGTTCGCAACAAGGAGCTTATCAGAACAAATTGTCTAGCCCAACCCCTTCTTCACTCAGAACCTAATGACCCTTTATCATCATGGTTTAGATTGCTGGACACAGATGTGACAAAATACAAGTAATCTGCAGGTAACTACAGTAGCTGCACTGATGTTCCCAGAGAACTGACTGCTGGGAAGATAAAAAGCTTCCCACTGAGCCAGTGACTTTCCAGCCGCACAGCGCATCATGATCTCATACATGAAGTTTTATTTGCCGTAGAATCACAATAAGATACGATGTTCACAGTGTAAACCTATTCGGGGGGGAGGAAAAAAAAAAAACAGACAATTCATTTGGCTTGTTAGGGCCTTTGAAAGAATAAAAATACATAAGCTAAAAAAATTATATTTTTTATTTTTTTGTAAATGGAAGGCTATTTAATATAGATAATTTTCATTTTATATTCCTTATAGATAACACATAATTTGGGGTTTATTCACTAAATGCCAAATCGTAACAAATTAATATGTAGAGTGACAGCATTTAGGCCAAGATATATTTTGTGGAAACGTTCCCCAACTGAGCTATAGTAAGTTAATTTGAGGTATTTTAGCTTCAGTATTGCATTTTGGATTTAATTTGTAATCTAGTGGTTAATCTAAAATTGCATTTGCATGTTTGCATTAGCCTGGCCATCACCATCTGGTTTGCAGTCTATGTATTATTAATGTTTAAGTGGAGTGTTTCCAGAATCTATACATAATGTGTATTTCCACCTACTGACAGATCGATATGCATTTTACATATGTTGCTCAGCACCTTTTCTGGAAGAATCATCAAAATATGGTCCTGTGTGCTGATTAATTTCCCCTGGTCATTTACATCTAAATGAGCAATTACTCCATACTTTGATGCTTTATTAAGCATCTCTATGTGCATCTCATTCTTCGGGGGTGGGTGGGGGGGGGACAAAACCTTGAGGCATATTGGCTTACATGGATTATACAGTGTTCCTGCTAGGTGTATCACCATTTCCTTTTTGACATGAGCGGTTATATGGCTAAAAATTTACATTTTTTATTTTTATTTTTGCATCGGACATGAAGCATACACTTTGGTGCACAATTTTCAGTAAAAACAAAACAAAAAACTAGGGATTTTTATGCATTCATTTTAATTGATCTGATATTTAGGCTGATGGTTTAATGTGTGCACTTGAAAACAAATGGCAACATTTTTGCAAGAGGAAGATACAAACTTGCCATAGTTCAATTTTTTCCATCTAAACTTTCTTTAAAAGGTTGATTTATGGTGATAGAAGTATATATTTTTATGAATTAGCCACTGGAGGCAGACTTAGTGCTGTAATGTAAACACTGCAGTTTCTCTGGAAATGCATTGCAGTACTAAGTGCAACAGGGACTCTGCACCCAGACCACTTCAATGAGCTGAAATGGTCTGAGCTCCTATAGTGTCCCTTTAAGCTGGTATAGTGAGCATCACAAGAAGGGTGAATTTGCTTTAGATTTTTTTTTTCTTCTGTGTGAAGCAAGGAAAACCATTTTTTTGTATACTTTGTAACTTAAAAGACTACTCCAACCCTTTTTCACACAAAAGGTTTATCACCTTATAATGCCCTACTGGGTATTTCAATTTAGGTGCCTGCAGTGATGTGGTTTTCTTTTTTTTTTGTTTATTTTTGCTCACGAGACTCTGCCGCTGTAGCCAGCCAATCCTCCGAAGACGTCCGTATGCCACAGTTTTGTCCAATGCAGTGCTTTTCCTAGGAAAGCATTGGTTGACTAGGTGTGTGTGGGTGGCCAAATACCACGCTCCTCCAATCAATACCACGCTCCTCCAATCAAATGCTGCTATGAGCAGCCTTGGATTTCAGGACCAAGTGAGACTTTGTTCTTTAGCAGGCAGCTTCTCTAGTAGCTATCAGGAAGGCAGTCACTTGAAATGTATTTCATCCTTCAGTGTAAATATTGCAATTTCTACAAAATGGCAATGTTTTCAATTGCAGGGTTAAATGACAGGCAACTGCACCCATACCACTTAATTGAGATGAAGCGATCTGTTAACAAAAATCATAAAACATTTAAGAAATGCATTATGACCAAACCCAAAAGACTTAAGCCTCAGCTGCGAGGGTGTATCAAATCACTAACGTATAAACACAATTTGCATAAATGGACATAGAGTGCATTAAATTACAGTGGATTAAACTTTGCAAAAGTGCCCATAAAAAAGTATCACAAACACACAGAATTTTGGAAATAATTGTCATGAAGGGGTTAAAGGACCACTATAGTGCCAGGAAAACATCCTAGTTTTCCTGGCACTATAGTGCCCTGAGGGTGCCCCCACCCTCAGGGACCCCCTCCCGCCCGGCTCTAGAAGGGGGAAAGGGGTAAAAACTTACCTTTTTCCAGCGCTGGGCGGAGAGCTCTCCGCCTCCGTTACGCCCCGCCGGCTGAATGCGCACGCGCGGCAAGAGCTGCGCGCGCATTCAGCCGGTCTCATAGGAAAGCATTTACAATGCTTTCCTTTGGACGCTGGCGTGCTCTCACTGTGATTTTCACAGTGAGAAGCACGCAAGCGCCCCTAGTGGCTGTCAATGAGACAGCCACTAGAGGATTAGGGGGAAGGCTTAACCCATTCATAATTATAGCAGTTTCTCTGAAACTGCTATAATTATGAAAAATGGGTTAACCCTAGAAGGACCTGGCACCCAGACCACTTCATTAAGCTGAAGTGGTCTGGGTGCCTAGAGTGGTCCTTTAAGAGATAGTTACAAATGTCTTGAATTTTGATTTTCTACCTTCTTTTGTATCAACATCCACAACAATAAATTGTGAACTTAAGTTTTGTTATATATATGTGCAGATTCATTGCTCTACTCGTCCAGTCATTTTTAATGCGACAGCCACACAATACACATGCTCACTCAGCACTGTCTAGCGCCCCCACTAACTAGTACATTGAAGTCGTGCTTGTTTACACATGCCCCTTCCAGTCTACTCTCATTGGCTGCCAGGTTACATCGATGTCGTGCAAACCATTCTCCTTATGTGTATAATATTATACACATGAGGTCTGTCCAGAAAAAGTCCAGTCATGGTTAATATAACAAGAACGGTTTGCGCGACATTAATGTAACCTGGCAGCAGGGCCGGACTGGGGATACGAAGCAGCCCTGGAAAAAAATCTATGCCAGCCCCATAAGTCATTGTGCTATGTAGGGTGTGTGTATATGTGTATATGTGTATATATATATATATATATATATATATATATATATATATATATATATATATATATATATATATATATATATATATATATATATATATATATATATACATATACACACACACACACACCACAATTGAAATAGTTGGCTGCACTCTCGGATTTCCTTAAAATGTAACTTTTATTGAAATATTTAAGAGAAGATCAATGTTTCAGTCCCTCTTGTGGACTTTCGTCAGGATCATGACAAAAGTCCACAAGAGGGACTGAAACGTTGATCTTCTCTTAAATATTTCAATAAAAGTTACATTTTCAGGAAATCCGAGAGTGCAGCCAACTATTTCAATTGCATATATATATATATATATATATATATATATATATATATATATATATATATATATATATATATATATAGGCAATTTAAGTAGTTGGCTGCACACTCATGCTTACTACAGACAAGCTCACTGTACACACATGCTCACCACAGACAGGCTCCGACACACCCATGCTCCTTACAGACAAGCTCACTAACACACACATATGATCCCTACAGACAAGCTCACTGACACACATACAAGCTCACTCACTAGCAGGCACACACAAACTCACTAGCAGGCACACACACACACACACACACAGGCTCCCTCACTAGCAGATACGTGCACACACACACAGGCAGACAGTCACTGACACCCAGGCAGACAGCCACACACACACACACACAGGCAGACAGTCATTGACACCGAGGCAAACACCCACTCATACAAAGACAGGCAGACAGCCACACACATACACAGACAGGCAGACAGTCACACACACACACACGCAGTCACACACAGGCAGACAGTCACACACAGGCAGACAGTCACACACAGGCAGACAGTCACACACAGGCAGACAGTCACACACAGGCAGACAGTCACACACACAGGCAGACAGTCACACACACACAGGGCAGTCACACACAGGCAGACAGTCACACACAGGCAGACAGTCACACACAGGCAGCAGACAGTCACACACAGGCAGACAGTCACACACAGGCAGACAGTCACACACTCACACACTCACAGTCACACACTCACAGTCACACACTCAGTCAGACACTCACAGGCAGTCACACACACACACTCACACACACACTCACACACACAGTCACACAGACAGTCACACATCACACACTCACAGGCAGTCACACAGACAGTCACACACTCACAGGCAGTCACACAGAGACAGTCACACACTCACACAGAGACAGTCACACACTCACACAGAGACAGTCACACACTCACACAGAGACAGTCACACACTCACACAGAGACAGTCACACACTCACACAGAGACAGTCCCACACTCACAGACAGTCACACACTCACAGGCAGTCACACACTCACACAGAGACAGTCCCACACTCACAGACAGTCACACACTCACACAGAGACAGTCCCACACTCACAGACAGTCACACACTCACACACTGACCTCCTTCTTACCTCCTGTTTGTTGCTCCTGGAGGCTGGTTGTTGGGGAAGCAGGACTCCTTCCTGCTTCCCATGCTGCAGTCAGCCGGGCCCTGCCGCAGGTAAGCCCCGCCCCCGCCGCACGCTAAGCCCCGCCCCCACCGCATTAAGCTCCGCCCCCGCCGCAAATTTTTTTTATTATTTTTTTAATGATCCCGGCCGTGTGTGAGCTGTGCTGGCCGGCTCCCCCTGGCTCCCATGGGGCTCTGTGCGGCCGGAGCTGTCAGCCCAATGATTAGGGCTGTCAGACCGGCCCCAGGTGCCGCGGCCCTGCCTGGCAGCCAAGGAGAGTGGACTGGAAGGGGCATGAGTGAACAAGGATGACTTCAATGTACTAGTTAGTGGGGGTGCTTGACTGGTGTGCAGATCCGTGTTTTAACAATATATTGCCTATTCACTGACTTCAGGTGGAAGGGGTTTTCAATCACAATTTTGTCCCACCATAACTTGTGTATATATGTATACTACAAGCTCCTTCTGCCTGGTGTTTGATAGTATCGCTGAGATAAGTGGCTTTGTCACTCATATGTCTGCCAGATGTGTTCAGTAGTATACTATGGTAGACATCACTCTGTACCCAAATTCTGAGCTTTATCCAATATAGGTAACTGACACAATCTTTATATTATTGGATGAAGATACAGACCAAGCCAAAGAGCAATAGATAAAGAACTTGAAATCTAGACATTTTAAAACAATTTTGTCTGTACAATTTAACGATAACATGTTAAACATCTCTAATGGCACAAACATATTTTTTTCATTCTTTCATGAAAGGTTGACTTTTTGATAAAGAACACATGTGCTGACCCCATCAGATATTCTGTATATGGGCATTATTTGGCTCATTCTTTTCTTGGAATCTTGCTTCTCTTTTTTTCATCTAGGTTTACGATCTCCGTAACAGGGCCATATGCCATTAGATTTTTTTTATTTATTAAAAACATAAAAAAACTATTTTATTAGGTTTATCGTATACGGAAAATTAACAAATGTTGCTGTTTAGCTTTGTCAGCTCTCTTGATGCAGATCAGTGTAGTTAATGGATTTGTGGCTGATGAAAGCCATCACTACTTCCACCATCATGTATCTTACACGTTGTAAGCAGCATCCCATAACATGTCATGGTATTTTACTCAATCAACAGATGCTAGTAAAGAGAACATGGACTAATTGGGTGCTAGAATGTCATTCCTACGGCCATGCATAGCATTTAAATATTATTAAAACAAGCCCCGAATATTAGTTTAATGTTGCCGTATTGTTAATGCTTCCTGTGTTGCTATAGTGTGACAAAGGTCACATATGGTCATATGTAATTTAATACATATAAACAGTAAACAAAACTTTTATTATATGATCTTATTCTCTCTAAAATTTGGTTAGATCTTGTTGTGAGGATATCCTGCTCCCATTGTCATATGTTTACTTTGATATATTTTCGTTTCCATCTATAAAAAATTAAGCAACATTTTAAAGTTTCACCTTCCCGTCGATGGCTAATCTACTTTTACAGGCGGTCAATCGGAATCTCACTCCTGCGCTGCTGAAATTGTTTATGCTCATTAACATCACTAGGTGGTGATACAGGAACCAAGTTAGCTAGAACACTCACTTTGATGCCATCGTTACCCATATTGATGATGCAGAATTTACACTTGCCCAATATCCGCATCCTTTCTGTCCAGCCTTGCAGGTGGTGATTTGATGTGCTTGGTGGTGGCATTATCATGGTGACTTGGGGAGGGGTGGTCTCTGGTTGCTGTGGAGTCCCCAAAGATAACTGACCATAAAACCACTACACTGAACTGTTAATGGCTGTTTCCTAGATGTCCCCAAAGGTTGAATTTAATGGGCTTTTGGCCTTTTTCAACCTATATTACAATTGCATAATAGATCACATGCAGGTATGAACTGATTACATTTTTCCACTTTCTAAACTGTTGAGTATTCCCAATTGAGATGTCCTTCTCTAATTGCTCGTGCAGACAGGGACTGTCCTATTTACTGCACATTTGGGGAGGAGGCTTATTTTATAACCTCTTTATCAACATGAACGAGCATGAGAGCCTTAGAATGCAGGAATAGCCAGTGGCTACTACCAACATAAAAGCAAAGAAGAAAAAGTTGTATTTAAAGTCTAGACACTATAGCATTTCTAATGATTTTTCTCTTATCTGATATATTATAACCTTTTTAGCTCTGCCTATTGTCTTCAAGTTTTTTCTTAGAGCTTCACTGAAATTAGTGTACTTTACTTTTAAGCCTTTCCATGTCAAGGGGTGAACAGCGTGCATCTTGTCTCGCTGTGCTAGACCTTCTTCAACAAAGTACTGAATGGAAAAATAAATTGGTAAAGAACTTTGACAGTATCATCGCATTGTTACAAAAAAAAAAAATTCTGACATTTAATCATTATAGATTAAAAAAGAAAAAAAATTGCTTTAGAAAGTATATTTTTTAAAAGGGGAAAAAAAAGTTTATGCTGGAATCTTTCCCCCATTTTCCTCTGTAATATTGCTGTATCTGTATATGGTTCAAGTTTATGGATAACATCTAAATTGAGAACTGAGCATTTATTTTTTTCTTGGTTAAATATGCATAAACCTCAGCAGAACAGTGGAATATTTGAGAGGTTGAATCCCTGGGGCGTTTATAAGAGTCAGCTTTCTCAGTATTTATTCTCTAATAAAATTAATGGTAACCTACTACAGCTGTGAATCTAAAAAATACTGTGCATTCGAAAACATGTAAATACGTGCATTTGTATATGTAGTAGTGTTTATATTATGAATTGTAATTTTGTTATAAAGCACCCTCTCCCAACTGATCTTTACTAGGCAAAAAAACTATAAAGGTGATTTGACCAGTAATAAAGGGACGGCCATCTTCAGCACGCAAGCAGTCGTTATGTCATACTATAGAAATAACAATTCCTTGTAGGACTGTGTATGTGTGTACATGGTTTTTGTGTGTATGTACTGGTAATAGCACTGAAGAACAGATATGTATATACAGAGGTCATACATTTATGTAACTTTGAATGTACGGTATGTATAAGAAATAGTGGAATGTGTGCTATTACACATTTATGTATAGAGAAACCTATAAATACGAAAATTAGCAAATATTTCTGTTCCTCTTTTCTGGTTTTATATAAACGTCGAACATCACAGTCGAGTCTGCTGTAAAGTTTTGTTTGAGCTTTTTAATCTGACTGATTAGCTGAAATAATGACCCTGTCAGCCTTAATCACATTAAAATGTGGTTAACATCATTTAATTTTTTCCACTTAATATGCAAAAATTTCCAGTAGATTTGCACTGAAGGCCATTGAAATTCCATTAGAACGAGAATAAAAATTTCAGGCATCATTTATTCAGAGAAGGAATAAAGGTCTCAATTGGAAACTGCTGAATCTTTTTATTAGGGAAACTATGAATCATCTGAGGTTATTCTGAAGATTTTTTTTTTGTCCAGTTCAATATGTTTTTGTGTGTTGCTGTGTGTGTGTCTGTAGGTTAAGAAGTCATAGCCCCAGCCAGAATGACAACCTAGGGCCCTATTTATGCAGTCAAGTGCGAATTGTTGGGAATTCAAAGATGAATTTCAGATTTAAGGCCAAAATAGCTAGTCTGAAAAAATGTCCATGTTAGCATAGCCTACCTATTTGGCTACTTGGCCATTAATATCAAATTAATTTAAAATTCTCACTTTACTGAACAGCCATGTGAGAGCCATTTTCCTCTGCATTCCCTGCCTCCTGTAGCATTTGGGGGAAGGTGTGTGTAATATGATCTAATCGTGGTGGTATACCCTCCTGAAGATGGGTTAAAACCGCCTGTGGTCGCCCCTTCCAGTTGTGGTCAGCTCCAGAGTGATTATAGCTGCTGAATAGTGATTATAGTTACTGCCGAAGGGTAACC